AGAGGGGTCCCAACACAGAGCCCTGAGGAACCTCAGAGGAGAGATGGTGGTGAAACAGGGAAACAAGAGGGGTCCCAAAACAGAGCCATGAGGAACCTCAGAGGAGAGATGGTGGTGAAACAGGGAAACAAGAGGGGTCCCAACACAGAGCCATGAGGAACCTCAGAGGAGAGATGGCGGTGAAACAGGGAAACAAGAGGGGTCCCAACACAGAGCCATGAGGAACCTCAGAGGAGAGATGGTGGTGAAACAGGGAAACAAGAGGGGTCCCAACACAGAGCCATGAGGAACCTCAGAGGAGAGATGGTGGTGAAACAGGGAAACATGAGGGGTCCCAACACAGAGCAATGAGGAACCTCAGAGGAGAGATGGTGGTGAAACAGGGAAACAAGAGGGGTCCCAACACAGAGCCATGAGGAACCTCAGAGGAGAGATGGTGGTGAAACAGGGAAACAAGAGGGGTCCCAACACAGAGCCCTGAGGAACCTCAGAGGAGCAATGGTGGTGAAACAGGGAAACATGAGGGGTCCCAAAACAGAGCCATGAGGAACCTCAGAGGAGCAATGGTGGTGAAACAGGGAAACATGAGGGGTCCCAACACAGAGCCATGAGGAACCTCAGAGGAGCAATGGTGGTGAAACAGGGAAACATGAGGGGTCCCAAAACAGAGCCACGAGGAACCTCAGAGGAGCAATGGTTGTGAAACAGGGAAACAAGAGGGGTCCCAACACAGAGCCATGAGGAACCTCAGAGGAGCAATGGTGGTGAAACAGGGAAACATGAGGGGTCCCAAAACAGAGCCACGAGGAACCTCAGAGGAGCAATGGTTGTGAAACAGGGAAACATGAGGGGTCCCAAAACAGAGCCATGAGGAACCTCAGAGGAGCAATGGTTGTGAAACAGGGAAACATGAGGGGTCCCAAAACAGAGCGCTGAAGAACCTAACAAGACATCTGAACTGTAAAGTGTTTTAGAAAGCAGCTGAGAGATTTAAAGGTCTCCTATTATACTCTTTTTAAGCATATATTATAGGTCTCAGATATATACAAATATATAAAAAACATGTCTCTGAAGTGTCCTGCTCCAAACCCCAAACAGACCCTTGTAGCCCCCCCCCCCCCCTCTCTTCCAGCTGTTACTAAAGAGCTGACTCTGGGTCAGTAGCTTCAGAGAGAGAGTAGATCTCATCAGGAGAACTCTCCCAGCAGAAACTCAGCTAAATGCTGCCGTGATGAAACTCCATATCATGTTCCAAACCACATGAAGGATTCTCTCTGAAACAGTATGGAGCTCAAACTCTTTCTCTCTCTCAGGTTTACCACAAGGTGACTTCCTTTTGATTTCCTGCTTCTTCACACATGCTCTCTCCAGTACAGGTTAGCTCTGAGTGTTAGCATGCTAATGTAAACACAGACCATATTACTTCCAGAACACGTCTCATTGTTTCTGACAGCAACGTTTCTGATTGGCCCGTGGGTGTAAAGCCCGCCCACATTTTAGTAATGTCGTCATGACGCAGAAAATCTGGATCAGCTCAATTGTTCCCCCGTTTTTAGAGATGTGGGTACGGAGGAAAAGAGAGAGGGGTTTATTTCCTGACACTTTGAGAGTCTCCTGACACACCGGGGACACACCGGGGGCACACCGGGGACACACCGGGGACACATGGTGATGTAGAAAAGACCTATAGGAGACCTTTAAGTAAAGTCACGTTGGGAGGTAGTCGGAGGTTGTTTGGTTTCATGGTTCAGTTCTGATGACTCACCGGTCCGAAGAGGGCGTCCTCCGCCTCGTAGGTGTAGTGATCCAGAGCCATGAAGTAGAACCCAGACTCCACCTGATCACAGCGCCGGCCGAACATGTGACCCCTGCACACACACTGACCGCTCACCTGGTCGCACCTTCTCACACACACACACACACACACACACACACACACACACACACACACACACACACACACACACACACACACACACACACCACACACACACACACACACACACACACACACACACACACACACACACACACACACACACACACACACACACACACACACACACATTACATTGACTTACATGCATTTCCTGGAGACTTAAACTAACCTTAACCATAACCAACACATGCCTAACCCTAACCCTTACCCTTAACCTTACCCCTCAGACCACAGAAGAAGAGCTGCAGCACCGAGGGTCCGCTGTGCAGTGTTAGTAACTGCAGTGTCTTTTACTCTATCGTATATATGATGATTGATGATTGTATATCTGATTATTGGCAGTGTGTATTCACAGCTTCATGTCCTGTAAAGCTTGTTTATTAAACATGTGGGTGGTGCACTCACTGGTTGTTGACGGCTCCTCCAAGATCACAGTCACATGGTCTGCAGCCGTCCATATCATTACTGAGACCCCAGTGTTCAGCCTGAAACACACACACACACACACACACACACACCTCAGATTGTATAGAAGTCTATGAGAAAATGTTCCCACTTCTCTCTTGATTACCTCAGATTGTATAGAAGTCTATGGGTTAGAATATTGAAATATTGAAATCATTTTCTCACCACACACTGGTCACAGTCTCGTCCAGTCACCAGACGTTTACAGAAGCAGTTTCCTGTTTCACTGTCGCAGGTATTTCCTCCAGCAAGTGTTCCCAAAGAGTTGCAGGTACACACTGAAACACAGTAATAATACACACTGAAACACAGTGATGATACACACTGAAACACAGTAATAATACACACTGAAACACAGTGATGATACACACTGAAACACAGTAATAATACACACTGAAACACAGTGATGATACACACTGAAACACAGTGATGATACACACTGAAACACAGTGAGGATACAGACTGAAACACAGTGATGATACAGACTGAAACACAGTGAGGATACACACTGAAACACAGTGATGATACACACTGAAACACAGTGATGATACACACTGATGATACACACTGATGATACACACTGATGATACACACTGAAACACAGTGATGATACACACTGAAACACAGTGATAATACACACTGAAACACAGTGATGATACACACTGATGATACACACTGAAACACAGTGATGATACACACTGAAACACAGTGAGGATACACACTGAAACACAGTAATGATACACACTGAAACACAGTGATGATACACACTGAAACACAGTGAGGATACACACTGAAACACAGTGATGATACACACTGAAACACAGTGAGGATACAGACTGAAACACAGTGATGATACACACTGAAACACAGTGATGATACACACTGAAACACAGTGATGATACAGACTGAAACACAGTGATGATACACACTGAAACACAGTGATGATACACACTGAAACATAGTGATGATACACACTGAAACACAGTGATGATACACACTGAAACACAGTGATGATACACACTGAAACACAGTGATGATACACACTGAAACACAGTGAGGATACACACTGAAACACAGTGAGGATACACACTGAAACACAGTGAGGATACAGACTGAAACACAGTGATGATACACACTGAAACACAGTGATGATACACACTGAAACACAGTAATGATACACACTGAAACACAGTAATGATACACACTGAAACACAGTGATGATACAGACTGAAACACAGTGATGATACACACTGAAACACAGTGATGATACACACTGAAACACAGTGATGATACACACTGATGATACACACTGAAACACAGTGATGATACACACTGAAACACAGTGATGATACACACTGAAACACAGTAATGATACACACTGAAACACAGTAATGATACACACTGAAACACAGTGATGATACAGACTGAAACACAGTGATGATACACACTGAAACACAGTGAGGATACACACTGAAACACAGTGATGATACACACTGAAACACAGTGAGGATACACACTGAAACACAGTGATGATACACACTGAAACACAGTGATGATACACACTGAAACACAGTGAGGATACAGACTGAAACACAGTGATGATACACACTGAAACACAGTGATGATACACACTGAAACACAGTGATGATACAGACTGAAACACAGTGATGATACACACTGAAACACAGTGATGATACACACTGAAACATAGTGATGATACACACTGAAACACAGTGATGATACACACTGAAACACAGTGATGATACACACTGAAACACAGTGATGATACACACTGAAACACAGTGAGGATACACACTGAAACACAGTGAGGATACACACTGAAACACAGTGAGGATACAGACTGAAACACAGTGATGATACACACTGAAACACAGTGATGATACACACTGAAACACAGTAATGATACACACTGAAACACAGTAATGATACACACTGAAACACAGTGATGATACAGACTGAAACACAGTGATGATACACACTGAAACACAGTGATGATACACACTGAAACACAGTGATGATACACACTGATGATACACACTGAAACACAGTGATGATACACACTGAAACACAGTGATGATACACACTGATGATACACACTGAAACACAGTGATGATACACACTGAAACACAGTGATGATACAGACTGAAACACAGTGATGATACAGACTGAAACACAGTGATGATACACACTGAAACACAGTGAGGATACAGACTGAAACACAGTGATGATACACACTGAAACACAGTGATGATACACACTGAAACACAGTGATGATACAGACTGAAACACAGTGATGATACACACTGAAACACAGTGATGATACACACTGAAACACAGTGATGATACACACTGAAACACAGTGAGGATACACACTGAAACACAGTGATGATACAGACTGAAACACAGTGATGATACACACTGATGATACACACTGAAACACAGTGATGATACAGACTGAAACACAGTGATGATACACACTGAAACACAGTGATGATACAGACTGAAACACAGTGAGGATACACACTGAAACACAGTGATGATACACACTGAAACACAGTGATGATACACACTGATGATACACACTGAAACACAGTGATGATACACACTGATGATACACACTGAAACACAGTGATGATACACACTGAAACACAGTGATGATACACACTGATGATACACACTGAAACACAGTGATGATACACACTGAAACACAGTGAGGATACACACTGAAACACAGTGATGATACACACTGAAACACAGTGATGATACAGACTGAAACACAGTGATGATACACACTGAAACACAGTGATGATACAGACTGAAACACAGTAATGATACACACTGAAACACAGTGATGATACACACTGAAACACAGTAATGATACACACTGAAACACAGTAATGATACACACTGAAACACAGTGATGATACACACTGAAACACAGTGATGATACACACTGAAACACAGTGATGATACACACTGATGATACACACTGAAACACAGTGATGATACACACTGAAACACAGTGATGATACACACTGATGATACACACTGAAACACAGTGATGATACACACTGAAACACAGTGATGATACACACTGAAACACAGTGATGATACACACTGAAACACAGTGATGATACACACTGAAACACAGTGATGATACACACTGAAACACAGTGATGATACACACTGAAACACAGTGAGGATACACACTGAAACACAGTGATGATACAGACTGAAACACAGTGATGATACACACTGAAACACAGTAATGATACACACTGAAACACAGTAATGATACACACTGAAACACAGTAATGATACACACTGAAACACAGTGATGATACACACTGATGATACACACTGAAACACAGTAATGATACACACTGAAACACAGTGATGATACACACTGAAACACAGTAATGATACACACTGAAACACAGTGATGATACACACTGAAACACAGTGAGGATACACACTGAAACACAGTGAGGATACAGACTGAAACACAGTGATGATACACACTGAAACACAGTGATGATACACACTGAAACACAGTGATGATACACACTGAAACACAGTGATGATACACACTGAAACACAGTGATGATACACACTGAAACACAGTGATGATACACACTGAAACACAGTGATGATACACACTGAAACACAGTAATGATACACACTGAAACACAGTGATGATACACACTGAAACACAGTGATGATACACACTGAAACACAGTGATGATACAGACTGAAACACAGTGATGATACACACTGAAACACAGTGATGATACAGACTGAAACACAGTGTCCGGCAGTGGCTCAGTCAGTAGGGGCTTGGACTGTGAGCTGTAGGGTCGCCGGTTCAAGTCCCCGACCAGACCTAAATATGGAGAGGTCCCAGTTCACCTCCTACCCTGCTGTGGTGCCCTTGAGCCAGGCACCGGACCCCCCCTTCCCCCCTCACTCCCATTGCTCCCTGGGCGCTGTACAATAGCTGCCCACTGCTCCTAGTGCTAGACTCCTGGTACTAGACTCCTGGTACTAGACTCCTGGTACTAGACTCCTAGTACTAGACTCCTGGTACTAGACTCCTAGTACTAGACTCCTGGTACTAGACTCCTGGTACTAGGATGGGTGAGAACAAATGTCACTGTGCGTGCTGTGTGCTCTGCATGTGAGACCATTAAAGAGGGTTTCATCCCTCCAAATCCATCAATTCTATCTATGATGATACACACTGAAACATAGTAATACTACAGTAATAATACACACTATACACAGTAATAGTCCTGAGACGTCTACCTGTGCACCCCTCCCTGCTCAGCCCGTGCGTGTTGTCTCGGCAGCGGTCGCAGCGCTCTCCCTCCACGTTCACTCGACAGCGACACTGACCAGAGATCAGCCCCAGACCAACGTCCGTCAGCGAATCACAGAGGCCGTCATTCAGGGAACCAATAGGATCACAGCTGCAGGCTACACGCACACACACGCACACACGCACACACACACACACACACACACACACACACACACACACACACACACACACACACACACAGTTAATAGGGTCATACTGTCAGTACAACGGCCTGTGGAAGAGGAAGTATGTACTCTGTGTGTAATCTGTGGACTCTGTGTACTCTCTGTGTACTCTGTGTACTCACGCTGGCAGATGTTGGGGTCCCGGACATCCTTCTCCAGATGTTGGTAGTAGAACGGTCTGCATCGCTCACAGCTGTTTCCTGCCGTGTTGTGTTGACACTCGTCACAGACCCCCCCGCTCACGTTTCCCGAAGCCACGAACACCACCTCGTCGAAGTGACAGGAGTCCGAATGCTGGTTACAGTTACACTCTGCAACACCACCGAAGAAGAGAGGACACTCAGAGACCAGTAGAGGGTGGTAGAGACAATTAGAGACCAGTAGAGACCAGTAGAGAGCAATAGAGACCAGTAGAGAGCAGTAGAGAGCAGTAGAGAGCAATAGAGAGCAGTAGAGACCAGTAGAGAGCAGTAGAGACCAGTAGAGAGCAGTAGAGACCAGTAGAGACCAGTAGAGAGCAGTAGAGACCAGTAGAGACCAGTAGAGACCAGTAGAGACCTGTAGAGACCAGTAGAGACCAGTAGAGAGCAGTAGAGAGCAGTAGAGAGCAGTAGAGACCAGTAGAGACCAGTAGAGATCAGTAGAGACCAGTAGAGACCAGTAGAGAGCAGTAGAGACCAGTAGAGTCCAGTAGAGATCAGTAGAGTCCATTAGAGATCAGTAGAGACCAGTAGAGACCAGTAGAGACCAGTAGAGACCAGTAAAGGGCAGTAGAGAGCAGTAGAGATAAGTAGAGATAAGTAGAGACCAGTAGAGACCAGTAGAGACCAGTAGAGACCAGTAGAGACCAGTAGAGAGCAGTAGAGTCCAGTAGAGATCAGTAGAGTCCAGTAGAGACCAGTAGAGATCAGTAGAGATCAGTAGAGATCAGTAGAGACCAGTAGAGACCAGTAGAGAGCAGTAGAGATAAGTAGAGAGCAGTAGAGACCAGTAGAGACCAGTAGAGAGCAGTAGAGACCAGTAGAGAGCAGTAGAGAGCAGTAGAGACCAGTAGAGACCAGAAGAGACCAGTAGAGACCAGTAGAGACCAGTAGAGACCAGTAGAGACCAGTAGAGAGCAGTAGAGATCAGTAGAGACCAGTAGAGACCAGTAGAGAGCAGTAGAGAGCAGTAGAGATCAGTAGAGAGCAGTAGAGACCAGTAGAGATCAGTAGAGAGCAGTAGAGACCAGTAGAGACCAGTAGAGACCAGTAGAGAGCAGTAGAGATCAGTAGAGACCAGTAGAGACCAGTAGAGAGCAGTAGAGACCAGTAGAGACCAGTAGAGAGCAGTAGAGAGCAGTAGAGATCAGTAGAGATCAGTAGAGACCAGTAGAGACCAGTAGAGACCAGTAGAGACCAGTAGAGACCAGTAGAGAGCAGTAGAGATCAGTAGAGACCAGTAGAGAATGAAGAGGATCTGATGGACTCACTCTTGCAGGCGTTGGTGTTTCGGCCCTCAGCAGGTCTCCAGGGAAGGTCGTGGTAGAAGTCATGACACCGCTCACAGTTCAGACCTTTGGTGTTGTGGTTGCACATGCAGTGTCCATGAACCTGAACACAAAGCACCGTCAAGTCTCACAACATAAAAAACTATTCATAAATCAGATTGAGTTTGTTTGATTTGTTGTTTCCTTTGATGCTTGCCCCCAATCAGACTTGAAGAAAGAGTACCATCTCATCTGCGTAGAGTTTGAGTTTGTTTGATGTATTTCTGAGCTTGTTGTTTATTGAAAGTTTAACAGTGGGTGAGATTTCAGGGTACTGTTGGACTTTCTCTGAGAGTCAGGGTACTGTTGGACTTTCTCTGAGAGTCAGGGTACTGTTGGACTTTCTTTGAGGGTCAGGGTACTGTTGGACTTTCTCTGAGAGTCAGGGTACTGTTGGACTTTCTTTGAGGGTCAGGGTACTGTTGGACGTTCTTTGAGGGTCAGGGTACTGTTGGACTTTCTCTGAGGGTCAGGGTACTGTTGGACTTTCTTTGAGGGTCAGGGTACTGTTGGACTTTCTCTGAGAGTCAGGGTACTGTTGGACTTTCTTTGAGGGTCAGGGTACTGTTGGACGTTCTTTGAGGGTCAGGGTACTGTTGGACTTTCTCTGAGGGTCAGGGTACTGTTGGACTTTCTCTGAGGGTCAGGGTACTGTTGGACTTTCTCTGAGGGTCAGGGTACTGTTGGACTTTCTTTGAGGGTCAGGGTACTGTTGGACGTTCTTTGAGGGTCAGGGTACTGTTGGACTTTCTCTGAGAGTCAGGGTACTGTTGGACGTTCTTTGAGGGTCAGGGTACTGTTGGACTTTCTTTGAGGGTCAGGGTACTGTTGGACGTTCTTTGAGGGTCAGGGTACTGTTGGACTTTCTCTGAGGGTCAGGGTACTGTTGGACTTTCTTTGAGGGTCAGGGTACTGTTGGACTTTCTCTGAGGGTCAGGGTACTGTTGGACTTTCTTTGAGGGTCAGGGTACTGTTGGACTTTCTTTGAGGGTCAGGGTACTGTTGGACTTTCTTTGAGGGTCAGGGTACTGTTGGACTTTCTTTGAGGGTACTGTTGGACTCCATTTGAGGGTCAGGATGTGGACGTGGTTTTACTCACCATGCCTTCGCTGGTCTGGCGGTCTCTCTCCACGGGCGCGCACTCAGAGGCGTGTCCGTAGCAGAAGCAGTTTCCTCGCACCACCATGTCGAAGATGGCGTAGTAGTACTTCTCCTTGATCTCGACCCGGGAGTCCAGCAGGTTGTCCCCCAGCGTGTGCAGTCTGGTGAACTTCACCCGCAGGTTGGTGATCTTCAACATGTCTGAGCACAAGACAACAGGTCACTGACGGACAACTGATCAACAATAAACAGTAGTTAAAAACAATGTGAACAGTGAAGAGACCTACTCTGGATTCTGGGGCTGTAGGGGTCTTCGATCCTGAACACCGGGTCCAGGACTCTGAAGATCACCTGCATTAAAGGGACATTTCATCAATGGAAGAAGTGGCCTTTGACCTGGCTCTCCTCTTTAGTACGATACGATAGGATAATACTTTACTGGTCAGATCCAGTCTGAAATGCTCCTTGCATCCCAGCAGCTCCATGTGTAACATCAACAGACAAACATGTAACATCACAGCAGCTCCATGTGTAACATCAACAGACAAACATGTAACATCCCAGCAGCTCCATGTGTAACATCAACAGACAAACATGTAACATCACAGCAGCTCCATGTGTAACATCAACAGACAAACATGTAACATCACAGCAGCTCCATGTGTAACATCAACAGACACACATGTAACATCACAGCAGCTCCATGTGTAACATCAACAGACAAACATGTAACATAACAGCAGGATCAGAGAGAGCTGCTCAAAGAGCCTTCAGCGTGATCTGATCTGAAGCTCTGTGTTCACTGAGTGGCACAAAGGATGCTTCAGGCGGACTTTATTGAATGGCGGGACCCTGAATCTCCCATTAGATTAGATTACTATGGGGACATGAAGACAGTACCTCTCCCTCGGTGGACGGCTCGATGTCGGAGTAACGCGAGTCACAGATGATGTCATCGACCTTCTGCATGGGCCCCTGGGAGACGGACGGGAACGCACTCTCACAGTCGTAGGCGAAGTATCGATAAACCTGCCACGTCTTCCCGAAGTCCGACGAGCGCTCGATCAACATGGCAGCGGGTCGGAACGTCTGAGGGGAAAATACACTTAAATATCATGTAAACACTTAACCTGATATCATGAGAAGCACTTAACCTGATATCATGAGAAACACTTAACCTGATATCATGAGAAACACTTAACCTGATATCATGAGAAACACTTAACCTGATATCATGAGAAGCACTTAACCTAATATCATGAGAAACACTTAACCTGATATCACGAGAAACACTTTAACACTTAACCTAATATCATGAGAAACACTTAACCTGATATCATGAGAATCACTTCAACACTTAAAGGTAGGGTAGGTAAGTTTGAGAAACCGGCTGGAGATACACTTGTTGTTATATTCCATGGAATGCTCTTAACATCCTGATAGCAATGAATATCTGAAGTGCTTTGACAAAAAATCCATTAAAAAAATATCATCTGTGGAAGCTGTAGTACTGTGAAAAGCACAACCAATCATCTGAGCCGGCCCGGCTAAAATAACTGGATGGCCTACCTGCCTGTCAGCCTTCCATCGGGGCACAAACTTATCTCGTGCCCTCATTGGTCATGTGCGCGTTCGTGTGTGTTGGAGGAGGGGCTCTGTAAGGAAGTGGCAGATTTTCTCCGGTTGTGTATTTTCAAATTATAGCGATCTCGAGCCGGTTTCTCAAACTTACCTACCTTTAACCTAATATCATGAGAAACACTTAACCTGATATCATGAGAAACACTAACACTTAACCTAATATCATGAGAAACTCTTAACCTAATATCATGAGAAACTCTTAACCTGATATCATGAGAAACACTTTAACACTTAACCTAATATCATGAGAAACACTTAAGTTATTATTATATATTTGTGTGTTCATGTCAGTTGTTGATGCCAGTAACCAGAGAACTGACGGTCCCTGTGGGGTCTGGCTTGAAGGTCATGATGAGGTGTGTGTAGTGTGTGTGTAGACCCACCTTTAAGGTCATGATGAGGTGTGTGTAGTGTGTGTGTAGACTCACCTTGAAGGTCATGATAAGGTGTGTGAAGTGAAACTCCGCCTCCAGGTTCAGCTGGATGGTGACGTTCTCCAGACCTGCAGATAGCATCACGGTCACCAACAAACTACAGACAAACTGTGACAACAAACCCCCCCGACTGTGTGAGAATGTATGAATGTGTGAATGTATGAATGTGTGAATGTATGAATGTGTGAATGTATGAATGCAGACCCGGCGCCAGAACAAATCTACAGAGAGGGCATATGAGGGAGGGCAAACCGGCATGTGCCGCGGCCACTATCGGCGCCAGAGATTTCTTTTGGAGGTGCTGTGGGGTAGCTTGACGTTTCATAGAGGGTGCTCAAACATGTAGGGTTTCCCATTAAGGTACCGGGCGCTACAGTGGAATGTTCTACTGCAACACTCCCCAAAGCACATACACAGTGCACCACAGACTCGTAGTCTTAAAGTTCACAGTTTATTTATAATTACAAAAATAAAAATAATTTTTTTTTTATAAATAAAATAAAACATGTTTATTGGGGGAGGGCAGGAATGTCAAATGGGAGGGCCCTCCCTGGCCCTCCCACGGCGCCGGGTCTGTATGAATGTATGAATGTGTGAATGTATGAATGTGTGAATGTATGAATGTGTGAATGTGTGTGAATGTATGAATGTGTGTGAATGTATGAATGTATGAATGTGTGTGAATGTATGAATGTGTGTGAATGTGTGAATGTATGAATGTGTGAATGTGTGTGAATGTGTGAATGTGTGATGGACGGTGTATGAATGTGTGTGAATGTGTGTGGCCATGTGTCTGTTGCATGTGTGAATGTCTGCATGTGTGCTGTCCTGTAGTGCTGTGTGTGCCTGTGTGTGCCTGTGTTGCCTGTGTGTGCCTGTGTGCTGCCTTGTGTGCCTGTGTGCCTGTCTGCTGTGTGCCAGGTGCCTGTCTCCTGTCTGCCTGTGTGCTGTGTGTGCCTGTGTGTGCCTGTGTGCCTGTCCTGCCGTGTGCCTGTCTGCCGTGTGTGCCTGTGTGTGCCTGTGTGTGCCTTGTGTGCCTGCTGCCTGTGTGTGCCTGTCTGCCTGTGTGTGCCTGTCTGCTGTCTGCCTGTGTGTGCCTGTCTGCCTGTGTGTGCCTGTGTGCGCCTGTGTGCCTGTCTGCCTGTGTGTGCCTGTCTGCCTGTGTGTGCCTGTGTGTGCCTGTCTGCCTGTGTGTTCCTGTCCCTGTGTGTTCCTGTCTCTGTGTGTTCCTGTCTCTGTGTGTTCCTGTCCCTGTGTGTTCCTGTCTCTGTCCCTGTGTGCTCCTGTCTGCCTGTGTGTTCCTGTCCTGTCCCTGTGTGTTCCTGTCTCTGTGTGTTCCTGTCTGCCTTGTGTTGCCTGTCTGCCTGTGTGTGCCTGTCTGCCTGTGTGCCTGTCTGCCTGTGATGTGCCTGTCTGCCTAGTGGGTGCCTGTCTGCCTGTGTGTGCCTGTCTGCCTGTGTGTGCCTGTCTGCCTGTGTGTGCCTGTGTGCCTGTGTGTGCCTGTCTGCCTGTCTGCCTGTGTGTGCCTGTCTGCTGTGGTGTGCCTGTCCTGCCTGTCTGCCTGTGTGCCTGTCTGCCTGTGTGTGCCTGTGTGCCTGTGCTGTGCCTGTCTTGCCTGTGGTGTGCCTGTCTGCCTGTTCCTGTGGTGCCTGTCTCGACTGTCTGCCTGTGTGTGCCTGTCTGCCTGTGTGTGCCTGTGTGCCTGTCCTGCCTGTCTGCCTGTGTGCCTGTGTGCCTTGGGTGCCTGGTGCCTGCTGCCTGTCTGCCTGTGTGTGCCTGTGTGCCCTGTCTGCCTGTGTGTGCCTGTGTGCCTGTCTGCATGTGTGTGCCTGTGTCGTGCCTGTCTGCCTGTGTGTGCCTGTCTGCCTGTCTGCCTGTGTGTGCCTGTGTGTGCCTGTCTGCCTGTGTGTGCCTGCGTGTGCCTGCCTGTGTGTGCCTGTTCCTGTCTGCCTGTGTGTGCCTGTGTGCCTGTCTGCCTGTCTGCCTGTGTTGTGCCTGTGTGCCTGTTGCCTGTGTGTGCCTGTGTGCCTGTCGCTGTGTGTGCCTGTGTGTGCCTGTCGCCTGTCTGCCCGTGTGCCTGTCTGCCTGGTGTGTGCCTGTGTGCCTGTCTGCCTGTGTGCCTGTCTGCCTGTGTGCCTGTCTGCCTGTCTGCCTGTGTGCCTGTCTGCCTGTGTGTGCCTGCTGTGCCTGTGCCTGTGTCTGCCTGTGTGCCTGCGCCTGTGTGTGCCTGTCTGCCTGTGTGCCTGTGTGCCTGTCTGCCTGTGTGCCTGTCTGCCTGTTGTGTGTGCCTGTCTGCCTGTGTGCCTGTCTGCCTGTCTGCCGTGTGCCTGTCTGCGTCCTGCCTGTGTGCCTGTCTGCCTTGTGCTGTCTGCCTTCTGCCTGTGTGCCTGTTGCCTGGTGTGGGCCTGTGTGCCTGTCTGCCTGTGTGCCTGTCTGCCTGTGTGTGCCTGTGTGCCTGTCTGCCTGTTGTGCCTGTGTGCCTGTCTGCCTTGTGCCTGTCTGCCTGTGTGCCTGTCCTGCCTGTGTGTGCCTGTCTGCCTGTCTGCCTGTGTGCCTGTCTGCCTGTGTGTGCATGGGTGTGCATGGGTGCCATGCCTCGTCGTCTGTCAAGCATCTTTGGCTACCTCCCCCCCAGCCCTCCCCCTCCCCTCAGGTACCCCCCCCCCCCTCAGGTATCCCCCTCCCCTCAGATATCCCCCTCCCCTCAGGTATCCCCCTCCCCTCAGGTATCCCCTCCCCTCAGGTATCCCCCTCCCTCAGGTATCCCCCTCCCCTCAGGTATCCCCCTCCCCTCAGGTATCCCCCCTCCCTCAGGTATCCCCCTCCCTCAGGTATCCCCCCCCCCTCAGGTATCCCCCTCCCCTCAGGTATCCCCCTCCCTCAGGTATCCCCCCCCCCTCAGGTATCCCCCTCCCCTCAGGTATCCCCCCCCCTCAGGTATCCCCCTCCCTCAGGTATCCCCCTCCCCTCAGGTATCCCCCTCCCCTCAGGTATCCCCCCCCCTCAGGTATCCCCCTCCCTCAGGTATCCCCCCCCCTCAGGTATCCCCCCCCCTCAGGTATCCCCCCCCCCTCAGGTATCCCCCCCCCTCAGGTATCCCCCCCCCTCACCGTTCTCAGACTGCCACCAGGTCTTCAGTCTGTTATTAAAGGTCGTCACCAGGTTCTCCACTCGATGGCCGCTGCTCTGTCCTGTCAGCTGGTCGTAGAGAGACTGAGAGTCACACAGGAAGCACTTCTTCTCCTCCTGGGGGGGGGGCATAGGGAGGGGGGGGGCGAGAGGGAGGGGGAGAGGGAGGGAGGGAGAGAGGGGGAGAGGGGAGGGAGGGAGAGGGAGAGAGAGAGGGGGAGGGGAAGATAAAGGGGGGAGATAAAGGGTTAATGAAGGAATTCCTCAGATTCCTTTCTGGTCTCAGAAACACATCCAACAGAAAACTGAAAAACAACCGGCGGCAGACCTCAAGAAAACTTTATTTAAACACTGCAGTGACGCTGATGAAGTCAAAACTTTATTTAAACACTGCAGTGACGCTGATGAAGTCAAAACTTTATTTAAACACTGCAGTGACGCTGATGAAGTCAAAACTTTATTTAAACACTGCAGTGACGCTGATGAAGTCAAAACTTTATTTAAACACTGCAGTGACGCTGATGAAGTCAAAACTTTATTTAACCACCTGAACCCTGTGAAGAACATCCATAAACATTCATCTGTTTGCATCTTGCTAATTACTTATCTATACCTCATATTCCATGTACTTGTATACAGACTCTTCTCTATACCTCATATTCCATGTACTTGTATACAGACTCTTCTCTATACCTCATATTCCATGTACTTGTATACAGACTCTTCTCTATACCTCATATTCCATGTACTTGTATACAGACTCTTCTCTATACCTCATATTCCATGTACTTGTATACAGACTCTTCTCTATACCTCATATTCCATGTACTTGTATACAGACTCTTCTCTATACCTCATATTCCATGTACTTGTATACAGACTCTTCTCTATACCTCATATTCCATGTACTTGTATACAGACTCTTCTCTATATCTCATATTCCATGTACTTGTATACAGACTCTTCTCTATATCTCATATTCCATGTACTTGTATACAGACTCTTCTCTATACCTCATATTCCATGTACTTGTATACAGACTCTTCTCTATACCTCATATTCAATGTACTTGTATACAGACTCTTCTCTATACCTCATATTCCATGTACTTGTATACAGACTCTTCTCTATATCTCATATTCCATGTACTTGTATACAGACTCTTCTCTATATCTCATATTCCATGTACTTGTATACACTCTTCTCTATATCTCATATTCCATGTACTTGTATACAGACTCTTCTCTATATCTCATATTCCATGTACTTGTATACAGACTCTTCTCTATATCTCATATTCCATGTACTTGTATACAGACTCTTCTCTATATCTCATATTCCATGTACTTGTATACAGACTCTTCTCTATATCTCATATTCCATGTACTTGTATACAGACTCTTCTCTATATCTCATATTCCATGTACTTGTATACAGACTCTTCTCTATATCTCATATTCCATGTACTTGTATACAGACTCTTCTCTATACCTCATATTCCATGTACTTGTATACAGACTCTTCTCTATACCTCATATTCCATGTACTTGTATACAGACTCTTCTCTATACCTCATATTCCATGTACTTGTATACAGACTCTTCTCTATATCTCATATTCCATGTACTTGTATACAGACTCTTCTCTATATCTCATATTCCATGTACTTGTATACAGACTCTTCTCTATATCTCATATTCCATGTACTTGTATACAGACTCTTCTCTATATCTCATATTCCATGTACTTGTATACAGACTCTTCTCTATATCTCATATTCCATGTACTTGTATACAGACTCTTCTCTATACCTCATATTCCATGTACTTGTATACAGACTCTTCTCTATACCTCATATTCCATGTACTTGTATACAGACTCTTCTCTATACCTCATATTCCATGTACTTGTATACAGACTCTTCTCTATATCTCATATTCCATGTACTTGTATACAGACTCTTCTCTATATCTCATATTCCATGTACTTGTATACAGACTCTTCTCTATATCTCATATTCCATGTACTTGTATACAGACTCTTCTCTATATCTCATATTCCATGTACTTGTATACAGACTCTTCTCTATACCTCATATTCCATGTACTTGTATACAGACTCTTCTCTATACCTCATATTCCATGTACTTGTATACAGACTCTTCTCTATACCTCATATTCCATGTACTTGTATACAGACTCTTCTCTATACCTCATATTCCATGTACTTGTATACAGACTCTTCTCTATACCTCATATTCAATGTACTTGTATACACTCTTCTCTATATCTCATATTCCATGTACTTGTATACAGACTCTTCTCTATACCTCATATTCCATGTACTTGTATACAGACTCTTCTCTATACCTCATATTCCATGTACTTGTATACAGACTCTTCTCTATACCTCATATTCCATGTACTTGTATACAGACTCTTCTCTATATCTCATATTCCATGTACTTGTATACAGACTCTTCTCTATATCTCATATTCCATGTACTTGTATACACTCTTCTCTATATCTCATATTCCATGTACTTGTATACAGACTCTTCTCTATATCTCATATTCCATGTACTTGTATACAGACTCTTCTCTATATCTCATATTCCATGTACTTGTATACAGACACTTCTCTATATCTCATATTCCATGTACTTGTATACAGACTCTTCTCTATATCTCATATTCCATGTACTTGTATACAGACTCTTCTCTATATCTCATATTCCATGTACTTGTATACAGACTCTTCTCTATATCTCATATTCCATTTACTTGTATACAGACTCTTCTCTATATCTCATATTCCATGTACTTGTATACAGACTCTTCTCTATATCTCATATTCCATGTACTTGTATACAGACTCTTCTCTATATCTCATATTCCATGTACTTGTATACAGACTCTTCTCTATATCTCATATTCCATGTACTTGTATACAGACTCTTCTCTATATCTCATATTCCATGTACTTGTATACAGACTCTTCTCTATACCTCATATTCCATGTACTTGTATACAGACTCTTCTGGCACTATTTCTATTTTATTTGTATTCTCTTGCACATGATGATAAAGCCTTGAATCTTTCTGCCCTCAGCGACGCACTGAGCGCGCTCAGTAGGTCTCCTCTCTGATTGGACGCTCACTCTGTCCTTTGAAGAAACATCTGGACCAACATCCTTATAAGGAGATCCTCACACAGGAAGTACCCCAGACACTCTCTCTGTGTGTGTGTGTGTGTGTGTGTGTGTGTGTGTGTGTGTGTGTGTGTGTGTGTGTGTGTGTGTGTGTGTGTGTGTGTGTGTGTGTGTGTGTGTGTGTGTGTGTGTGTGTGTGTGTGTGTGTGTGTTATATAGAGCTCTGTTACTCCTCTGACAGCACCAGGGACACTTTATTAATATACAAAGGTGATGTGATATGATAAATAGCAGTATTTAGATATGATAATATAGCAGTATTTAGATATGATAATATAGCAGTATTTAGATATGATAATATAGCAGTATTTAGATATGATAAATAGCAGTATTTAGATATGATAATATAGCAGTATTTAGATATGATAATATAGCAGTATTTAGATATGATAAATAGCAGTAGATATGATATAGTAGTCTTGTTACCTGCAGGTGGCTCACGATGCAGAACGGTTCGGGGCGGGTCAGTCCACAGGTGGAGGTGGACGACAGTTGGTGGGCTCGGCCAATCAGAAGGTCTCCTGTTGCCGGGTAACAGCTGCCCTCTGTGCACACGTCACTGAGCTCCGGGAGGTCCTCCTGCCACCCCCCCTCCTGAGCACAGGTGAACACCTGCAGAGCTGAGGGAGCACGCTCTTATTGTGAAAGTCTTCATAACACACAGGTAATCAGAGGCTCTTATTGTGAAAGTCTTCATAACACACAGCTAATCAGAGGCTCTTATTGTGAAAGTCTTCATAACACACAGGTAATCAGAGGCTCTTATTGTGAAAGTCTTCATAACACACAGCTAATCAGGCCTTGAAAGTCTTCATAACACACAGGTAATCAGAGGCTCTTATTGTGAAAGTCTTCATAACACACAGGTAATCAGAGGCTCTTATTGTGAAAGTCTTCATAACACACAGGTAATCAGAGGCTCTTATTGTGAAAGTCTTCATAACACACAGCTAATCAGAGGCTCTTATTGTGAAAGTCTTCATAACACACAGGTAATCAGAGGCTCTTATTGTGAAAGTCTTCATAACACACAGGTAATCAGAGGCTCTTATTGTGAAAGTCTTCATAACACACAGCTAATCAGAGGCTCTTATTGTGAAAGTCTTCATAACACACGTAATCAGAAGCTCTTATTGTGAAGGGCTTTGATACAGATCAGACACTGTTGTGTTTTAATCATTGTCTTTGAACTCATCACACACACACACACAGACCACACACGCACACACACAAACACAAACACGCGCACACACACACACACACACACACACACACAAACACACACACACACACACACACACACACACAGACACACACACACACACAGAGACACACACACTCTGCTCTGCTCAGTGATAACGGTTTGTTTAACTCGTCCTGCTGCTCTGAAGTTACTGATATATAATGAGTTATATCTGTCTGAGTCCGCTGTGTGTGTGTGCGCGTGTGTGCGCGTGTGTGTGCGTGTGCGCGCGTGTCTGTCTGTCTGTCTGTCTGTCTGTCTGTCTGTCTGTCTGTCTGTCCGTCAAACATTCCTCTCGTTAACAGTGTAAAACAGTCCCTGAAACTCACCGAGCAGAACCGCGACCCGAATCATCCTCAGAGCTGCAGAGAAATCCTTTAAAACCAGACCGATCCGGACCTGGAGAAAACCTTTAGAACCAGACCAACCTGGACCTGGACCCGGAGAAAACCTTTAGAACCAGACCAATCTGGACCTGGACCCGGAGAAAACCTTTAGAACCAGACTAAACTGCAGCCGGAGAAAACCTTTGAGAGGACCTGAGAGCTGAGAGAGCTGCTGAACACTGACCCCCTCCCGGACTGAAGACCCTCAGATCAACTCTCAGGACTAACTTTCACAATAAAAGTTTCGGCTCCTCCTCAGATTCAGGACGAACTTTCAAAATAAAAGCGTGTGAAATGCTTTCTTGTGAAAGTGAGATGAGATCAGATGAACTTGATTCAGGGGTTTATAGCAGAGTGGAAAACAGCATTCACACAAGGTCAATCAAGATATAACATTTACATAATGATAGAAAAATAGAAAGTAATACGATGATAAACTGTTGAAACAAGATATCACAATAGCCTACTCACGTTTACTAGTATTTACATTCTCTGCTGCTTAGTATTGATATATATATATATACATATGACAGTTTGACCATGCATTATTATATATATATGTATGTATTGTTGTTATTATAATGTATTACCTGTTAGTCTTAGGGTCTAAGGAACCCTCTGATGTTCCTCTGGTTCCACCAATCACAGCTCAGCACCCAGAGACCATCACAGTCAGAGGCTTTTATTCTGAAACATCCTCACATGACTTCCTGTCTCAGTGTGTTCATATATATTAATATTCATTAAAATGAAGGTACAATGAGTGACACTGAAATGTTGTCAGGAAGGAGGGATCAGTGGACCAGCTGACCTGTAGCACCTGACTGGAGGACTCTCACTGAAGGGCCTTTGTACAATTATTCTAATCAAGCATCACTTGTTCTCACACCTTTGTATTTTTCTGTTTTCTTTGAACCAGGAACACTTAAAGGTGGGGTAGGTAAGTTTGAGAAACCGGCTGGAGATCGCTAGAATTTGAAAATACACAACCGGAGAAAATCTGCCACTTCCTCACAGAGCCTCCAACACACAAGAACGCGGGCCGGCTCAGATGATTGGTCGTGCTTTTTACAGTACTACAGCTTCCACAGATGACATTTATTTATGGTTTCATGTCAAAGCACTTCAGATATTCATTGCTATCGGGATGTTAAGAGCATTCCATGGAATATAACAACAAGTGTATCTCACGCCGGTTTCTCAAACTTACCTACCCCACCTTTAACTACTGACTTAACTACTGACTTAACTATTAACTTAACTACTGACTTAACTACTGACTTAACTACTAACTTAACTACTGACTTAACTACTGACTTAACTACTAACTTAACGACTAACTTAACTAACACTAACTGAACCAACGTGTTCTGTAGCCTGGCCTTCCTCCTTCTGTATGCTGTACCATGAGAGCTGTGTGCCATGTATGTTCATTAATAACAACTTTCATTTATTTTACACAGACCTTAAATTCAGTGGATTCCTCCACACACACACACACACACACACACACACACACACACACACACACACACACACACACACACACACACACACACTCACACACACACACACACACACACACACACACACACACTCACACACACACACACACACACACACACACACACACACACTCACACCACACACACACACCACACACACACACACACACACTCTCTCTCTCACACACACACACACACACCACACACCACACACACACACACCACCACTCACACACACACACACACACACACACACACACACACACACACACACACACTCTCTCTCACACACACACACACACACACACTCAGGGCTCTTCAGACAAAGGACATTCCTTCCTCCCCCGAACACACACACTCCTCCCCCAGTTAAACCTCACCTGCAACAACAAAGGAGGTGTGTGTGTGTGTGTGTGTGTGTGTGTGTGTGTGTGTGTGTGTGTGTGTGTGTGTGTGTGTGTGTGTGTGTGTGTGTGTGTGTCCTCGGGGGTGGGGGAATCTGAACCCCCCACCTGAAACATCTGAAGACTCATTCAGGTGCATTGTGGGTAACGACTGTGAACATGTGGAGGCCCGCTGAGCTTCAGCTCTCAGCCAATCAGAGCGCAACTAAACTGTGTGAGGACAAACATTAACAACTGAATGGAAACACACACGCGCACACACACACACACACACACACACACGCGCACACACACACACACACACACACACACACACACACACACACACAGGCATCACACACACATACACACACACACACACACACAACCACCCACACGACTCACAACATACTAACACACACAAAACACACACAGCACCAAGAACCCATCCACAACACAGCCCCTCACACATACACCCCTACACACCCACAACCACCACATCACACAACCACACACCGACACACCTCCCTACACCCATCCACATACACACACACGCCACACACCCACACACACACACCCACACGACCACGACACTCACGAGCACCCACACACACACACCACCACACACACACACACACACACACACACACACACACTCACACATACACATACACACACACACACACACACACACACACACACACATACAGACAGTGATGATTTGATTAAAGTGAAATCAGTTCATATGTAAACAAATCAAACAAATGGTGTGTGTGTGTGTGTGTGTGTGTGTGTGTGTGTGTGTGTGTGTGTGTGTGTGTGTGTGTGTGTGTGTGTGTGTGTGTGTGTGTGTGTGTGTGTGTGTGTGTGTGTGTGTGTGTGTGTTGTTTGTTTGTTTGTTTGTTTGTAGCCTTTATTTAACCAGGTTAAAATCCCATTGAGATCAACGATCTCTTTTACAAGGGAGACCTGCGGTACATTGAGTTACACATATAAAAACAAACAGAAAACAAAAGGACATCACAACATAATCACAGGGGTATACATTAGCATCTATTACAGTTACAGGTATCCAATAACATTTCATCCACTGTGCTTTAAAACGATGCAAGGGAATCAAAATGCTCAGTTTGTTTTGCATGGTGTTCCAAGCTAGAGGAGCAGCGCACATAAAAGCTTTAGCACCTAAAACAGTCCTAGCACTTGGCACATGTAATAAAAACACATCCTGGGATCTCAGGCAATAGCTACTTGCCACTCTCTGTGAGATCAGAGAGCAGATATAAGAAGGTAGTTTACCCAGCATGGCTTTGTAGATGAACATGTTCCAATGACTGAGCCTCCGTACAGGAAGTGAAGGCAGACCTGCCTTGGCATACAGGGTACAGTGATGAGGAAGTGCTTTACAGTTAGTAACAAATCTCAGAGCGCTGTGATAGGCGGCATCTAACCTTTCCAGGCAATGGGCAGGTGCATTCATATAGATCAAATCACCATAGTCCAGCACAGGTCAAAAGGTCACAGAGCCTTTTCCTGGCTTCAAAAGAGAAACAGGACTTGTTTCTGAAAAAGAAACCTAGTCTAACCCTCAGCTTTTTAAGCAGATTAATGACCTGAAGTTTAAAAGTGAGACAATCATCAAGCCAGATACCAAGGTGTTTATAACAGCTAACCACTTGGAGTACTTGTCCTTGCATAGTCACAATATCCAAAGCAGTCTCTGGAGTCTTTTTAGCTTTAGAAAAAAGCATTACCTTGGTTTTCTCAACATTTAAAAGAAGCTTTAGTTCAGAGAGCTGAGTCTGAATAATGTTAAAAACAGCCTGTAATTTAACACCAGCCTCCTTAATGGAGGGACCTGCACAGTACATCACGGTGTCATCCGCATAAAAATGCAAAGTAGCTTCATCCACATTTTCACCTAAACTATTGATGTAGATGGAGAATAAAAGTGGACCTAAAACAGAACCTTGAGGAACACCATTAGTAATGTTTAACCACTCAGAAGACAGCCCATCAAAGTGAACACATTGGGACCTTTCAGAGAGGTAGTTCACAAACCACCCACTGCATGGCTGGATAAGCCAATACTGAGTAGCCTCTGCTTTAAGATGTGATGATCGACGGTATCAAACGCTTTGGAGAGGTCAATAAATAGAGCTGCACAACTCTGCTTATTATCTAAAATACTTGTAATGTCATTCACCACCTTCATTGTGGCAGTGATGGTGCTATGTTGCTTTCTGAAGCCTGACTGATGTTTAGACAGGATGTCATTGTTACATAGAAACTCCTTTACCTGTTCACTCACTAGGCGTTCAAGAACCTTCGCCAGAACTGACCATTTAGAGATGGGCCTATAGTTATTTAAAACAGTTGCCTCCCCTCCTTTCAGCAAAGGCAGGACATACGCTGACTTCCATACTTTTGGAATTGTGTTTGTGCTGAGGGAGAGGTTGAAAAGAGAAGTGAGAGGTGGAGCAATACAATCTGCAGCTATCTTTAAAAAGAAAGGTTCCACGTTGTCCGGGCCGGCCGGTTTCTTAGGATCTAACTTGGTTAAAGCTTCATGAACAACATTTACAGTAAAAGGAGTAAAACTGAAAGGGTTTTCCAGAGCACATTGTTCAGAGTCACAGACTGAGGTGTTCACAGAAGCAGAGTTAGTCACAGAATCAAACAGAGAGCCACAGGACACAAAATGCTCATTAAAACAATTTAACATAGTAGCCCTGTCCGATATAGAGCCAGATGCTGTGGTAAGGCACGGAGGTAGCTCATTACGGATCTCACCGGTGGATAGCGATTTTATGGCTTTCCAAAATGTCCTAGGATTATTTAGGTTTTCTGTAGTAACTGACAAATAGTACTTCGACTTAGCATTTTTGACATGTGAAGTGAAGCTATTTCTTAGCTGCCTAAAACGCAGCCATTCTACCTCTGAGCCTGATTTCCTAGCCTTTGCCCAGGCCTTGTTTCTCTCATGCAGGAGACTGGACAGTTCAGCAGGAAACCAAGGATTGTCTCGTCCCTTTACTCTAAAAGTACGTAGGGGTGCATGTCTATCTATAATTTCCATAAAACCAAGATAAAAATAAGACCATGCAGTTTCTACATCAGCACACAGATCGATTTTTCCCCAATCAAACCCAAACAGATCATGAACAAAACCCTGCTCCACAAAATGTTTTATGTGTCTCTTAATAATAATACGGGGTTTAACCTTTTGGACCTTAGTGTCCCTAATTGTGGCTACAGCACAGTGGTCACTCACATTTGCAAATACTCCCACAGATAGGTATTTATAGGGAACATTAGTTAGAATGAGATCAATTAGGGATGATTTATTAGGGGACTTAACGTTAGGGCGAGTAGGACTGTCAACAATCTGAGTAACATTCAGAGAGATACAAAGGTTTTTAAAATCCTCTGATACAGCAGTTAACCAGTCCCAGTTCAAATCTCCAAGCAGCACTATTTCCTTGTAGTCTAGTTGTGATAAAAGTGTTGCTAGTGAAGACAAGGAGTCCTTGACAGCTGAGGGGGGTCTGTAACACCCCACCACCATGACCTGTTGACCCTTTGCCACTTCTATATTTAAGGCTAAAAATTCGAATTGCTTACTGACAGATTTGGAAACCAATGTGGTTACACTGAACTTATTCTTAACATAAATGGCAACTCCACCACCTTTATTAGGCCGGTCGGTACGATACACATTATAACCATTTAAGGATATGTCAGAGGCCAAAATAGTTTTATTTAGCCATGTTTCTGATAACACAATGACGTCAGCGTCAGTCGAGCTCGCCCAAATGCGGACAAAATCTAGCTTACCTAACAGACTGCGCACATTCAAGTGGATGAGACCCAACCCAGACCTAGCTTTAAAATCAGCAGGAGTAGCGATCTGACTGCTACTACTGGGCGGACCAGGGTTAGGTTGAACATTTCCTGACAGTAATAACAACAAAAAAAACAGGCATCTTTTCCTCTTCATCGACACACACACATTGTCATCTACTTTAGAATCACCGGAAAAGTCTGCGAGAGTTTGATTAGTAGTTTAAGAAGCAGTCCTGAAGTACCATCATCGCAGGCAAACAAAAAAGACAAACATATTTTGTCGAGCAGATTGTCTGTGACAAGGTGACTGGTAACTGTTTGTGTAACACATCCGACCCTTTGCAGGGGATGCCTACTGCGGGTGGCAGAACAGACCTGAATCCAGTAGGCTTCTCAGGATGACTAGAGATCTTCTCATAGTCCAGAACAGCTAACAGGCACAGCAGAATCACGATATGGGCCATCCTCCCAGACCAGCACACAGTATCCGCGATGTTGTGTGTGTGTGTGTGTGTGTGTGTGTGTGTGTGTGTGTGTGTGTGTGTGTGTGTGTGTGTGTGTGTGTGTGTGTGTGTGTGTGTGTGTGTGTGTGTGTGTGTGTGTGTGTGTGTGTGTGTGTGTGTGTGTGTGTGTGTGGGGGGGCTGTCTTCCCATCATATGTTTTATTACATCAGTAATGCAAATGACACTTTTTGATGAGCGATGGATTATATTTTATTGTAAAATCACAGTCATACACAGCATACCCATACTGCGTACTGCGTACTCAGTACTGCGTACTGAGTACTCAGTACTCAGTACTCAGTACGCAGTACATACAACACAGTCAGGGCTATGAGTTCTGAAGATTAAAATATATTCTGTACTCATAGTTAGTGTGAAGCATCAAGTTTAAAGAAACGAAGGAGTACAATCTGTAAATTATACTTTAACAGTAACAACGTGTACACACCCACAAATACACCAGTGTGTAGTACTCTGTAGTACTATGTATTCATCTGAAGTACTCTGTAGTACTCAGTAGTACTCAGTAGTACTCAGTAGTATTATGAAGTACTCAGTAGTACTCAGTAGTACTCAGTAGTACTCAGTAGTATTATGAAGTACAGATGGCGTATCCTTCGGCTCGTCTGAAGATCTCTCGCCTCAGATTGTCGGCATCGAGCAGCAGATTTGAGACCTGAGCCGCTCGATCTGATCTGTTCCTCAGGAGCTCCTCCATCCTCTGCTCTATACCTGAGAGTACACACAGTACACATTATATACACACTGAGGTAGTACATGATATACACCTCAGAGTACACACATATACACACTGAGGTAGTACATGATATACACCTCAGAGTACACACATATACACACTGAGGTAGTACATGATATACACCTCAGAGTACACACATATACACACTGAGGTAGTACATGATATACACCTCAGAGTACACACATATACACACTGAGGTAGTACATGATATACACCTCAGAGTACACACATATACACACTGAGGTAGTACTGTAATGATGCATGATATACTGCAGTAAAGCTTTTGCTGGAGTACTGCTGCTGTCTTCCCAATGCTAAAATCACTGACTAAATACCGTAAAGAAGTACTACCAGAAGAAGTACTACCAGAAGTAGTACTTCTTCTGGTAGTACTACCTGAAGTAGTACTACCAGAAGTAGTACTACCTTGTATCTGCTTGAGTTTGTCCTGCAGCAGCGTCTTCATGTCCTCGGCCTCCTGCAGCAGGTTCTTCAGACGTTCTGCGTCTCCCCCCTTCTGGTTCCTGTTCCTCAGCTGCAGAACCTCAAAGAGACTCAGAACCCGGTCCAGCTGCTGGAGACACAGAGTACACAACAAGTACTGAGTACTGCTGGAGACACAGAGTACACAACAAGTACTGAGTACTGCTGGAAACACACAGAGTACACAACAAGTACTGAGTACTGCTGGAGACACACAGAGTACACAACAAGTACTGAGTACTGCTGGAGACACAGAGTACACAACAAGTACTGAGTACTGCTGGAAACACACAGAGTACACAACAAGTACTGAGTACTGCTGGAAACACACAGAGTACACAACAAATACTGAGTACTGCTGGAGACACAGAGTACACAACAAATACTGAGTACTGCTGGAGACACAGAGTACACAACAAGTACTGAGTACTGCTGGAAACACACAGAGTACACAACAAGTACTGAGTACTGCTGGAGACACAGAGTACACAACAAGTACTGAGTACTGCTGGACACACAGAGTACACAACAAGTACTGAGTACTGCTGGAAACACACAGAGTACACAACAAATACTGAGTACTGCTGGAGACACAGAGTACACAACAAGTACTGAGTACTGCTGGAAACACACAGAGTACACAACAAGTACTGAGTACTGCTGGAGACACAGAGTACACAACAAGTACTGAGTACTGCTGGAAACACACAGAGTACACAACAAGTACTGAGTACTGCTGGAGACACAGAGTACACAACAAGTACTGAGTACTGCTGGAAACACACAGAGTACACAACAAGTACTGAGTACTGCTGGAGACACAGAGTACACAACAAGTACTGAGTACTGCTGGAAACACACAGAGTACACAACAAGTACTGAGTACTGCTGGAAACACACAGAGTACACAACAAATACTGAGTACTGCTGGAGACACAGAGTACACAACAAGTACTGAGTACTGCTGGAAACACACAGAGTACACAACAAATACTGAGTACTGCTGGAGACACAGAGTACACAACAAGTACTGAGTACTGCTGGAAACACACAGAGTACACAACAAGTACTGAGTACTGCTGGAGACACACAGAGTACACAACAAGTACTGAGTACTGCTGGAGACACACAGAGTACACAACAAATACTGAGTACTGCTGGAGACACACAGAGTACACAACAAATACTGAGTACTGCTGGAGACACACAGAGTACACAACAAATACTGAGTACTGCTGGAGACACAGAGTACACAACAAGTACTGAGTACTGCTGGAGACACACAGAGTACACAACAAATACTGAGTACTGCTGGAGACACAGAGTACACAACAAGTACTGAGTACTGCTGGAGACACACAGAGTACACAACAAATACTGAGTACTGCTGGAGACACAGAGTACACAACAAATACTGAGTACTGAGTACTGCTGGAGACACAGAGTACACAACAAATACTGAGTACTGAGTACTGCTGGAGACACAGAGTACTATGTAATGCTTACTAATGTACATACTTTTAATTTGAAGTCACACAGTAAGCAGGTATGTTAGCATGTTAGCCTGTTAGCATGTTAGCCTATTAGCATGTCTCCCACCGGCTGCGTGTCGGCGTTCTGCTTGACGGCGCTCTCAGTGGTCTCTCCAGCGCCTCCTGCTGTCTCTCGGTTCTGATCCGTCTTCTCCTTCAGGGCCTGGATTTGGTCCTGCAGGTCTTCAGGTCTCCAGCTCATCAGCTTCGTCTCCATGTCCTCCAGTTTGTCTCTCATCTGAAACAGAAGGAGACGGATCAGGCAGAGCAGGAGTCAGGTGACGGTGTTTGAGACGTTTGGGATGTGTTTACGTCTTGGATCTGGTCTCTGGTCCGGTCCCTGTCCCCAGTGGAGGCGTCCAGCTGGTCGTTGGCTTTGTCCTGAGCTCGCTCCGCTTCATAGAGATCTCGACTGATCCCGCTCAGGTCCACCATCTCCGTCCGCTCCCTCAACACCAGAAACAAAAACACAGATTCCTTCATGACATGATGCTGTAGAGAGACGTCAGAGACCTCGTCACCGAGACCTCGTCACGAGACGTCAGAGACCTGGTCACCGAGACCTCGTTACCGAGACCTGGTCACCGAGACCTGGTCACCGAGACCTCGTTACGAGACGTCAGAGACCTGGTCACCGAGACCTGGTCACCGAGACCTCGTCACGAGACGTCAGAGACCTGGTCACCGAGACCTCGTTACTGAGACCTGGTCACCGAGACCTGGTCACCGAGACCTGGTCACCGAGACCTGGTTACCGAGACCTGGTCACCGAGACTTCTTCACCGAGACCTCGTCACGACACCTCGCCAACGGGACCTCGTTGAGTCAGAGTTTGGGGTTTAGTTTGGTGTTGAGGTTTTTCTTTTCAGCATTAACAAATGTTTGGTGTTATTTGGGTGTTCATGCTTGAGGACACTGACTTGAGTTCCCGGGCATCCTTCAGAAGGTCCTGGGCCGTCCTGGCGTGATCCTCCAGGTTCTCCAGGCTGTCTTGGTGGCTACTGGTGTTGAACAGCAGATTGTTGATGTCATTGATCAGTGATCGGATCTGATACGGGGATCTCGGCAGCTTGATGTCCAGAACAGCGCGGGCCATTTTCTCTATGTCCTCTGGAGGAACCATCTCGTCTGTAAGGGAGGACAGGATTACTGAGGACATCTGAGAACTCCTCACCTGTAAACTGAGGACAATGCTGCCCATCACACTGACCCATCAGGTAGTCTCTGACGCGCTGGAGGAGCGCCTTGGTTTTATCTTTCTCTCTCTGGAGGGAGTCGATGTTGCTGTTGACCTGGTCCTGGAGGTCTTTGGCCTTTCCTCTGGTGAGCTGAGCCTCCCGTGTGGCATCATCCATCTGACAGAGAACACACAGTTAGAACTATGACTCAGCAGGCGGGCGTAAAGTCACCAGAAACAGATCTTCTGTTGATCTTAAACTAACGGTGATGATGTCCTGTTTACTAGGTGGATCCAGATGTTGCAGCCTTAGCTTCCAGTGTGTTGGATCATCAGGGTCGCTGCGTCTGAGCCGGACCAGTTCATCCTCTCATCAGGCCAGGCTGATCCTCAGTCTAGTCCTGGGGAACCTGACCTTTCTAAGAATTTCTAAGCACCCCCCGACCTTCTCCAGAACTCATGTTACGGATAAACTCCCCTTTTGATAACCCTTCTGACCCAGTTCTGGTCTGATCCAGACTGCTTGCCTCATGCTTCAGGTTAGAAGACGTGTTTTCTGGACGTGTGAACCTGCCTTGGTGTTGGCGTCCTGCAGGGACTTTGGCAGTGTGCTGAGTTTGTCCTTCACTCCCTCTGCCGTCTCTGAAGCTTCCTGACTGACAGGAAACGCTCCGTCACAGTTTGGTCCGCCACATTTCCTTCCCCCAAGGTCCAGAGCACACAGAGCGCCGCCACATCCTGAGCACCCGTCGCGACCTGAAGCGCCGCAGACCTGCACACAAAACAGGGGAAACACACAGGGTATAATACACAGGAAACACAGCACAGGAAACAGGGCATGAAGAAGCTCAGGTTACAGGGGTTACTCCCCCTTTGGGTCAGGTCAGGGTGAGGTCAGGGTGAGGTCAGGGTGACTCACCCTCCGGTTGAGGTCTCCCACCCTCAGATCCAGGACCCTCCTCTCCAGAGGCTCCGGGTCTGATCGGCTGCAGGCGCTCAGTCGGCGCTTCACTTCCTGTCTGGTGTCCATGGATTCCTCCACAGCTGTGATGGCCTTTCTCACCTTCTTCTCGTCCAATAGGAAGGACCCGTGCTGGTTCTGGATCTCATCCAGCAGCCCTGAACCAGAGAGAGAAGAGATGTTAGTGATCTCTAACAGAAGAGATGAACACAGGAACAGGAAGTAGATCTCTACTCTGTACGAGGGGTAAATACCCTCCTCGTCCTCCATGTCTCCGGCGGTCTGATCCGTAAAGGTTTTATCCTTCAGGTTGTTCAGCAGCTTCTTGAACTCCAGACCAATGTTGTCCAGCTCTGTGTGGAGGAGAGTGGACGGGTCCATTAGGATCCGGTTCTGGTCCAGACCGTCCTGCAGCTTCCTATGAGGAAAGAGATGGGAGGGAAACAGGAATATCAGAGGGTCAGTGAAGGCCTCGTGGAGCTCTCTCTAACAGGAATATCAGAGGGTCAGTGAAGGCCTCGTGGAGCTCTCTCTAACAGGAATATCAGAGGGTCAGTGAAGGCCTCGTGGAGCTCTCTCTAACAGGAATATCAGAGGGTCAGTGAAGGCCTCGTGGAGCTCTCTCTAACAGGAATATCAGAGGGTCAGTGAAGGCCTCATGGAGCTCTCTCTAACAGGGATATCAGAGGGTCAGTGAAGGCCTCGTGGAGCTCTCTCTAACAGGGATATCAGAGGGTCAGTGAAGGCCTCGTGGAGCTCTCTCTAACAGGGATATCAGAGGGTCAGTGAAGGCCTCGTGGAGTGCTGAGTCAGCAGTAAATATTTGAGCTCCCAGCATGTATACCGAGTGTTATAATAATATTAATAATAATAATAGATTACATTTTCATAGAGCCTTTCAAGAGACCCAAGGCCGCTTTACATGCTGTGAACAAATAAACAAACAAACAAGTAGGGCAAATAATAAAGTCATTTATTTATGAATAGCATTGGGACGGGGAAAGCTTCCTGTTGGTGTGTCAAATGATCATATAATCATTTAAAACATATCGTCTTCTACTCTGATTGCCATTTACTCTGTTAAATTGTATATTTAGTCTTGTATGTGTTTGACAGAGACAGATGTTAAGGGTTTACATTTCAGAAAGTAAAGGAAGTGAGAAAGGGCTAAGGACTGGGATGCTTCGATGATGCCTCAGAGAATTGAAGGGTGCGACCAGTTGGATATTCTCTCTAATATATAGTGTGACTGAAAGCTGTGTTCTGGGTGCAGAGCTTCTCAATCCTCTGAGGATGAAGTTGTTCTGTTCCTACATTTGAGAAAGTCAAACTTTGTCCATGAATCATCTATCAGTTTCTCTCCACACCTGCTAGTGTTTGTAAGCTAACGTACCCGACCCTCGCTCTCAGCTGCTCCACCTGCTCCACCCGGGGGGGGGCGTCGCCCGTCAGGTTGCCGAGGAGATGCAGCTCCGCCTGCAGCTGCAGCATCCGTTGCTCGGGGCGACCGCCTGTGGGCCGCTCGTCGTCATGGCAAGGGATGAAGCTCCTCATGGTGTGAGCGGCACGCTGCACGTCCTCCACCTGCTGCGCCCACAGCGCTCTGCAGGCGTGGCACGGAGCGCAGAGTGGGAACGCAGAGTCGTACCCCGGAGAACACTCATCACAGAAGATCCCCGAGACCCCCTCCCTGCAGAGGCACTCTCCGGTCTCAGGGTCGCAGGACGGGGGCTCCGTGCCCTCCAGGTTACAGTCGCACGCTGACAACAAGAGGACACGTGTCAGAATGACATCACTAAGAGCCTCAGACCCTCAGGAAGGGCTGGAGGGTCCCAAAAACCCAGCTAAAGACTAAGGGTGATTCTCCGTCAGAGCTATTATTATTATTATCATTATTCTAGTATTGTTGACCTCAGATTCTGTTCTAATCCATGCATTAGTAAAGTTATTATTGAATAACCCCCCCCTCTCAGTCATGATATTTACAACCAATGGCGTGTCACTCCGGGGGGGTGGGAAACCATCACTGTTAGAAAGAGCATTGTGGGATAATGACTCAGGACTCGGTTCTGATTGGATGTAACCATGACTTAGTTTTAAATATGGAGGGTTCTGGTGGGAACTCGGAAACCCTTTCCACGACTCAGGACTGATTATTCTTCTCTTTACAAATCAGGAGCTTCATCCGTAAACCAATGAGAGCGGTATGGACATAAACAGATAGTCAAATATGTTATTAAAAGCGTATCAGTAAGGAAGAAGTCATTGGTTATATAGATAAGATGTTTGTTTACTGCTGGTGGTCTTAAAACAGCCTGGGGGGGATCTGGCTTCCATCCGGACAGGAAGACTACGTGTGATGAGACCCAATATAACCCAGTTCACAGACTGCATGAACCCCCAGCTGCTCGGTGTGAATATGATCCTATGTGCTCTTCAAAATGCTTCAAATGTAAAAAATAACTGGTTCATACAGTCGTCTTATTTTGTACCGGTAGACCCATATCCCTGGACCCCCTTTTAATCCTGACACCGGCACACTCTGAGGACCGCTTCACATTATCACACTGACTGGTGTTCAGATGGTTTGAAAACAGATGTTGTCTTAGAGCTGATCCCACGTTCATCAAATAATGGAACAGAATAAGGACCCGTGTCTCTGAGAGCCGGCAGGTTCTGTTTCCAAAGAGAACCGAGCGCAGAAGGACTGGATGACATGTGGGTCAGGGTCTACACTCACAGAAGGATGAGATGTGGGTCAGGGTCTACACTCACAGAAACACTGCAGGTCCGGATTCCCAAAGTGGTTTTCTCCACATTCGTCACACTGTCTTCCTCCGAACTCAGCATGGCACGGACACTGCCCCGTCACCTGAACACATCACGCTTCATTGTGAGTTAACATTCAAGAAGCAGTCATTGTTGCACTCAAAACCCACCTGTTCAACACTGCATTCAACCACTGACCCCCCCCCCCACCTGTTCAACACTGCATTCAACCACTGACCCCCCCCCCCACCTGTTCAACACTGCATTCAACCACTGACCCCCCCCCCCCCACCTGTTCAACACTGCATTCAACCACTGACCCCCCCCCCCACCTGTTCAACACTGCATTCAACCACTGACCCCCCCCCCCCACCTGTTCAACACTGCATTCAACCACTGACCCCCCCCCACCTGTTCAACACTGCATTCAACCACTGACCCCCCCCCCCACCTGTTCAACACTGCATTCAACCACTGACCCCCCCCCCCCCACCTGTTCAACACTGCATTCAACCACTGACCCCCCCCCCCACCTGTTCAACACTGCATTCAACCACTGACCCCCCCCCCCCACCTGTTCAACACTGCATTCAACCACTGACCCCCCCCCCCACCTGTTCAACACTGCATTCAACCCCTGCCCCCCCCCCCCACCTGTTCAACACTGCATTCAACCACTGACCCCCCCCCCACCTGTTCAACACTGCATTCAACCACTGACCCCCCCCCACCTGTTCAACACTGCATTCAACCACTGACCCCCCCCCCACCTGTTCAACACTGCATTCAACCACTGACCCCCCCCCCCACCTGTTCAACACTGCATTCAACCACTGACCCCCCCCCCCACCTGTTCAACACTGCATTCAACCACTGATCCCCCCCCCCCACCTGTTCAACACTGCCTTCCACCGCGACCCCCCCCCCCCACCTGTTCAACACTGCATTCAACCACCTGACCCCCCCCCCCCCCACCTGTTCAACACTGCATTCAACCACTGACCCCCCCCCCCCACCTGTTCAACACTGCATTCAACCACTGACCCCCCCCCCCCCCACCTGTTCAACACTGCATTCAACCACTGACCCCCCCCCCCCCCACCTGTTCAACACTGCATTCAACCACTGACCCCCCCCCCCCCCCACCTGTTCAACACTGCATTCAACCACTGACCCCCCCCCCCCCCACCTGTTCAAACACTGCATTCAACCACTGACCCCCCCCCCCCCCCCCACCTGTTCAACACTGCATTCAACCACTGACCCCCCCCCCCCCCCCCACCTGTTCAACACTGCATTCAACCACTGACCCCCCCCCCCCCCCCACCTGTTCAACACTGCATTCAACCACTGAGAATATAAAACATATGATGTTGCCTTGTTGCAGGTGTTGGAGAAGGCGTTGGCGGTGTCGCAGCTGCAGGGCTGGCACCCCGTGCCCCCCCCCAGGTTCCAGTATTCGTCCTCACACTGGTCACAGAGGACGCCCTGCACCCCCCCCCTGCAGGGGCACTGGCCCGTCTGGGGGTCACAGACACAGGGACTGCCCTCCGGACACTGAGTCACCTCCGTGCCCCGCCGCTCACAGGTGCATTCTGGGACATATCAGGGAAATATCAGGGAAAACATCAAAACAAAAACAACATGTGAACTCTGAAGCCTCCGAGACCGCCTGACAGCTGAGGCCTGTACTACGAAGCCGGATTTCCGAAACTCTGGGTTTCCGGTCCTAGTACGCTGGTTCTCTTCTTACCGGGCTAGATCTCCATGGTGACTTATGCTGAACGGCAAACCTGCTCCGAAGCAGAGGCCTGAGGCCTGTACTACGGAGCCGGTTCAACATGACCTGGATATGTTTGAGTTACCAGGTTTAACTAACCCAAAACAAACGCGCTCTCGCTAAACTGTCCTACGACGCTGGTTATCAACTCGGTAACTCAAGCCAGGGTTTCTCTGTCCGGCTGAGTGCGCGTTCACATGAAAGGGGCGGGGCTAGCAATATTTGACCAATCACAAACATGGACAAGCGTACTGACAGCGCAGCGTCATACTTCCTGAATGAAAAGTGAACTTTAATATTAGTCAAATATGAAGAAGTTAAACTTTAAACATCCATGACTTAAACACTTTATCCAGGATCAAAGCCACATAGCTGCACCTGCAAGGTGAATACAGCTGGTAACAGAGAAAGTGTTTGAATGCGTACATTAACAGGTTTATGATATCACTGCCCCGTCTAAGACACGATCTGACTTTAATTACATTTGACTCGAGTGTTTCGTCAACTTAATGTGTTGCTTAAAATAATACTTCTGCATACAGTATGTGACACTGTGAGTGTTGCACGGCCAGATACGGCTCAGCTGACTCAGATAAGGAGATATATGATACATTATGATGTGATATGATATGAATGATAATGGGACACATCCAGGGGCGGACTGGCCGGTCGGCCGACGTGGGCCGGTCGGATAAGTCACTAGCATCCCCCCCCCCCCCCCCCCGTCGACAATTGCCCCGCGGTATTTACTTGTGGCACCGAGGTGGGCCGCTCGGATAACTCACTAGCACACCCCCCCCCCCCCCCCCCCGGTTGACAATTTATTTGCGGTACCGAGGTGGGCCGGCGGTACCGAAGTGGGCCGGTCGAGAGTCCCGGGCTGATTTGTAGTCCCAGTCCGCCCCTGGACACATCGACGTCTGCACTCACAGTGCCACGGACTGTACGTAATGTTACAATAGGCGCTAGTACTTTTCCCAGTATAGTTCCGATATAGTTCCGAAAATGTGCGTTCACACCAAAAAGATCTGGAACTTAGTTCATGAGAACCTTTTCACCCCCTTTTCAGCCCCTGCTAGAGAGCAGGTACTTCCATGGGAGAAAAAGGTTCCCATTTCTGATTGGCTGGGCGGATTGCAAACCACGCCCCGTAAAACTCCCAAAAGGTTTTGTGAAGCCGCCATTTTATTTTCCTTGCATTAGCATTATTAGCATTAGCATTAGCACAGCACACAAACGGAGAGAGACTAACTAGGGAAGTTAAGATTCACCGATTCGCATCGGTGCACCGGCATAAACGTTCTAGATGCGAGTGCACCGGGTGAAAGAGTGCACCGGTTGAAAGAGTGCACCGGTTGAAAGAGTGCACCGGTTGAAAGAGTGCACATCGGCTACAGTCTGGGTTGAACTCGCGATGCATCGATTGTAGCGTCTTTGCATCGGTAAAGAAACGATTCATTCATATAATATCCTCTCATCCTGTCAGCACTCAGCAGAGACCATCTTTGATCTTTGCTCCGCACTACGGAGGCCGAGAGTCTCAGTTATCAACACACATGGAAGTCGAGGAGAAAGAGAAACACAGCGCACCGAAAAATACCTACAAATCAAACGTTTAGCAACACTTCGGATTTTTCAAGAAAGACGGACAACTTGAAAAATCGCTCGCAAATTGTAAACGATGCCGTGCAGCTTTAAAGTACACAAGTCGTACGAGGAACTTAGCGACGCACATAGAGGCGACATGGGGTCTGCAGCTGAAAAGAGAAACCTGAAAGTTAGACATATGAGTGAAATCACTCAGTGAGGTGTTCTGTCAGAGAGAGTGGTGTTTAGTTTACAACAGCCTGTGACTGCCAATCATAGTTTACATGTCTTCCTTACTGTAAGCAGTTATGAAATACCTGCTTGTGAAAGGTTATTTTCTTTATTGTTCCTATAGAAACCACTGCTTCCTGCTCTCTGGTGAGTTAGCCTATGGATGAGTGTTAAGCACATCAGGCTGGCAGCTGTATGGGCATTGCTCTCTGTGGTAGTTGTTATTTGCACATTGTTAATCATGGGTTATACAATTGTACTTTACTCTGGAGAGTGTTTTAAGGTCAAAAAGGGTCAAAAAGAAACAGCATGATGGGATGCGCAGTACTCGTAGAGAGAAGCAAATATGTGAAGCACTTTTTTGTTAATGTATGATTTGCTGCATTTAAGGAATAAAACAAAATCCTCTGTGGTACCATATTGAAGTATCATTATTTTGCATCGTGTTGAATCAAATCGTATCGAACTGTACCGCAACAGGGGTGAATCGTATCGTATCGCATCGCCTGGTGTTTCAAAGGTATCGTTAATGTATCGTATCGTTGGCAACGTATCGAGATGCGCATCGCATCGGCCTGAGTGATGGCAACACAAAAGAAAACATGGGAGCGGTGGAGATGAGGAGATCTAGCCCGGGCTAGATCTCCATGGTAACTGACCCTAAGTGTTATTATGGTACAGTGTTGTAATTGTTGTTGTTATTGTTGTAGTGTTATTGCTGTACAGTGTTGTTGTATGTAGTGTTGTTGTTGTTATTGTTGTACTGTTATTACCGTGCAGTGTTGTTATTGTTGTTGTTATTGTTGTAGTACTATTGCTGTACAGTGTTGTTGTTGTTGTTGTTATTGTTGTACTGTTATTACCGTGCAGTGTTGTTATTGTTGTTGTTATTGTTGTAGTGTTATTGTTGTAGTGTTATTGTTGTAGTGTTATTGCTGTACAGTGTTGTTGTTGTTGTTGTTATTGTTGTACTGTTATTACCATGCAGTGTTGTTATTGTTGTTGTTATTGTTGTAGTACTATTGCTGTACAGTGTTGTTGTTGTTGTTGTTGTTATTGTTGTACTGTTATTACCGTGCAGTGTTGTTATTGTTGTTGTTATTGTTGTAGTACTATTGCTGTACAGTGTTGTTGTTGTTGTTGTTGTTATTGTTGCAGTGTTGTTGGTACCTTTGCAGTCCTGCAGCAGGGCGTCCCCGTAGTACCCCGCTCTGCAGGTCTGGCAGTGCTCGCCCCCCGTGCCGTGCAGGCAGCGCTGACAGACCCCTGTCACGGCGTCGCAGGCATCTCGCTCCTCCGGGGCGATGTTGTTGTTGCAGAGACAACGTTCACAGCCGGCGCCCGGAGACCGCAGGTCGCCATAGAAACCAGGGCTGCACCTGTCACAGCGCGGGCCTGAGACAACGTTTTAATAAAGTTAAAACAAAGTTAAATAAAGTTAAAATAAAGTTTACACTGAACATGTTTAGAACCCTTTCCACAGGCCCGGCTCTCAGGAACCTAAAGCACCAGAACACACGGACCTCTGAAGGAACCTGAGCTCCACACACTTCCTGTCGGACTCACCTGCGTGGCCTGGCCTGCAGTCACAGCTCAGACTGAGGGATTCTGGGTCGGGTCGGCAGGAAGTGGCGAAGAATCGTCCGCTGCCCTGAACGCCAGGACACAGGCAGGGCTCACAGGGCCGCCTGGAGACCGGGTCGCCATAAAAACCCTCCATGCACCTGCATGTGAACCACAGGAAGTCATCAAAACCAGAACCCCTCAAACATCCATCAGAACCACAGGAAGTCATCAAAACCAGAACCCCTCAAACATCCATCAGAACCACAGGAAGACATCAGAACCAGAACCCCTCAAACATCCATCAGAACCACAGGAAGACATCAGAACCAGAACCTCTCAAACATCCATCAGAACCACAGGAAGACATCAGAACCAGAACCCCTCAAACATCCATCAGAACCACAGGAAGACATCAGAACCAGAACCTCTCAAACATCCATCAGAACCACAGGAAGACATCAGAACCAGAACCTCTCAAACATCCATCAGAACCACAGGAAGACATCAGAACCAGAACCCCTCAAACATCCATCAGAACCACAGGAAGTCATCAGAACCCCTAAAACATCCCTCAGAACCTGTCTAGTATATATATATATATATATATATATAATAGTACCTCTCGCAGTGCAGTGTTGTGTATAGATATGTATATATATATATATATATCTCAGTACCTGTCGCAGTGCAGTGTTGTGTATAGATATATATATATATATATATATCTCAGTACCTGTCGCAGTGCAGTGTTGTGTATAGATATATATATATATATATATATATCTCAGTACCTGTCGCAGTGCAGTGTTGTGTATAGATATATATATATATATATATCTCAGTACCTGTCGCAGTGTGGCCCCGCGGCGTCCTCCCTGCACTCCACACACTCTCCTGTGTCTTCCTCACACTCGTCCGACAGGCCGTTGCACTCACAGGGTCGACAGAGCGGGAATCCCCAGAATCCTTTGCGGCAGCGATCACACCGCCGGCCTGCGACGTCTCTCCGACAGGAACACTGACCTCTGACTTGCTCACAGAGCGGATCAGAACCAGCAGCGTGGCACTCACAGGCTGGGGAGGAAACACACCGTCAGCTGTCTGACCCCCACCTGGAGAACAACTATCAACATGAAGAGAAGGAACCGTACGTTGGCAGCCGTCGGGTCCAAAGCCAAACGTCAGCGGAGCACAGGCATCACAGCAACGGCCAATCACATTGGGTTTACATTCACAGACTCCTCCCAGTTTACTGCAGGACGGACTGAGGGAACCGGCAGCGTTACACCTGCAGCCTGAAACACAGAGATCCAGAACCTGAGAACACTCAGAGATACAGAAGAACCTGAGAACACTCAGAGATACAGAACAACCTGAGAACACTCAGAGATACAGAACAACCTGAGAACACTCAGAGATACAGAAGAACCTGAGAACACTCAGAGATACAGAAGAACCTGAGAACACTCAGAGATACAGAACAACCTGAGAACACTCAGAGATACAGAAGAACCTGAGAACACTCAGAGATACAGAACAACCTGAGAACACTCAGAGATACAGAACACTTGATAATATGCTAGATCAGGGGTTTTCAAAGTGTGGGAAGGTGAGCCCCCCCTCAGAGAACATAAGAACAGCCCCGCCCCCCCCTCAGAGAACATAGGAACAGCCCGCCCCCCCCTCAGAGAACATAAGAACAGCCCGCCCCCCCCCTCAGAGAACATAAGAACAGCCCGCCCCCCCCTCAGAGAACATAAGAACAGCCCGTCCCCCCCTCAGAGAACATAGGAACAGCCCGCCCCCCCCCTCAGAGAACATAAGAACAGCCCGCCCCCCCTCAGAGAACATAAGAACAGCCCGCCCCCCCCTCAGAGAACATAAGAACAGCCCGCCCCCCCCTCAGAGAACATAAGAACAGCCCGCCCCCCCCTCAGAGAACATAAGAACAGCCCGCCCCCCCTCAGAGAACATAAGAACAGCCCGCCCCCCCCCTCAGAGAACATAGGAACAGCCCGCCCCCCCCCTCAGAGAACATAAGAACAGCCCGCCCCCCCCTCAGAGAACATAGGAACAGCCCGCCCCCCCCTCAGAGAGCATAAGAACAGCCCGCCCCCCCTCAGAGAACATAGGAACAGCCCGCCCCCCCTCAGAGAACATAGGAACAGCCCGCCCCCCCTCAGAGAACATAGGAACAGCCCGCCCCCCCCTCAGAGAACATAAGAACAGCCCGCCCCCCCCTCAGAGAACATAGGAACAGCCAGCCCCCCCTCAGAGAACATAAGAACAGCCCGCCCCCCCTCAGAGAACATAGGAACAGCCCGCCCCCCCCCTCAGAGAACATAGGAACAGCCCGCCCTCCCTCAGAGAACATAGGAACAGCCAGCCCCCCCTCAGAGAACATAGGAACAGCCAGCCCCCCCTCAGAGAACATAGGAACAGCCCGCCCCCCCCTCAGAGAACATAAGAACAGCCAGCCCCCCCCTCAGAGAACATAGGAACAGCCCGCCCCCCCCTCAGAGAACATAAGAACAGCCCGCCCCCCCCTCAGAGAACATAAGAACAGCCCGCCCCCCCTCAGAGAACATAAGAACAGCCCCCCCCCCCCCTCAGAGAACATAAGAACAGCCCGCCCCCCCTCAGAGAACATAAGAACAGCCCGCCCCCCCCTCAGAGAACATAGGAACAGCCCGCCCCCCCCTCAGAGAACATAAGAACAGCCCGCCCCCCCCCTCAGAGAACATAGGAACAGCCCGCCCCCCCCTCAGAGAACATAAGAACAGCCCGCCCCCCCCTCAGAGAACATAGGAACAGCCCACCCCCCCCTCAGAGAACATAAGAACAGCCAGCCCCCCCCTCAGAGAACATAAGAACAGCCCGCCCCCCCCTCAGAGAACATAGGAACAGCCAGCCCCCCCTCAGAGAACATAGGAACAGCCAGCCCCCCCTCAGAGAACATAAGAACAGCCCGCCCCCCCCTCAGAGAACATAGGAACAGCCCGCCCCCCCCTCAGAGAACATAGGAACAGCCCGCCCCCCCCCTTCCTCTTCTTTGAACACGCCATTTGAAATGACTCCGACTGTTTGAATCTATCGTGCTGACTCACTGACTGCACCCATCTGATTGGCTGAGCAGCGTCACCTGATTAACCTGTTAAGCACCAAGCCTGTTTTTCATGGGTTAAAACATTAAACATTAACTTTTTTAAACCTTTTTATCTTTATGTTTTAAACATATCTTTTTAACATTTTTAACATTTCCAACATGGTGGATGAACTCTGCCTCCTCCTTACACTCAGCCCTACTTTAGTGGAGCAATGAGTCTCTGATGCACACAGGCGGATGATGAGGGGATGCAATGTGGACAGGTGCACACGCAGACCATCCTCTGGCTGCAGACGGGACCCGCACCACCTACCTGAGCACTCTCACAGGTAGGTGGAGGTGAAGGGAATGAGCACTCTCACAGGTAGGTGGAGGTGAAGGGAATGAGCACTCTCACAGGTAGGTGGAGGTGAAGGGAATGAGCACTCTCACAGGTAGGTGGAGGTGAAGGGAATGAGCACTCTCACAGGTAGGTGGAGGTGAAGGGAACTCAGTCTCCACAGTTTTCTGCCAGACGCCGTCTCCTCTCTCACTTTAGGTAACTTCACTAAAAATCGATCCATGTTGCCGCTCACATAAAGTTAGCTGAAGTTAACTCGCTACATTTCACTGTTTCTCGTTATTCTTTTCTCACGCCGCGCCTCCCCTGAAGCTCTCTGGCGCGCCTTCCCTGAAGCTCTCTGGCGCGCCTCCCCTGAAGCTCTCTGGCGCGCCTCCCCTGAAGCTCTCTGGCGCGCCTCCCCTGAAGCTCTCTGGCGCGCCTCCCCTGAAGCTCTCTGGCGCGCCTCCCCTGAAGCTCTCTGGCGCGCCTCCCCTGAAGCTCTCTGGCGCGCCTCCCCTGAAGCTCTCTGGCGCGCCTCCCCTGAAGCTCTCTGGCGCGCCTCACCTGAAGCTCTCTGGCGCCCCCCAGGGGAGGCGCGCACCTCCCCAGGGGAGGCGCACCTCACACTTTGAAAACCCCTGTGCTAGATTATAAGAACTTCATCATGTACTATGTTCCTGGAGGACTCACGGACGGCTCCGCGGTGGATCCTTGCCGACATGCTCTTCACGAGTCCTTCACAAACCTCCGGCAGCCCCTCCTGAGGGTCGAGCTCAGCGGCCAATCCGATGCAGCGGAAGCGGCGGAAAGAGTCGAGGTCGGTCTGTGAACAGAAGTCCTGGACCGACTCGATGCTGGGGATCAAACCCATCTGAAACAACATGAATCATTCAATTCTACATGATTTAGTTTTGACTTTAAGCGATGAATGGACCGAAGTTTCTCCAAGTTCAGATCAATATCGCTTCAACTTGTGAAGACATTCAAACAGGCCTGCAGGCACACGATTGGACAGAATGGACCCTTCACTGATTGGACAGAATGGATCCCTCACTGATTGGACAGAATGGACCCCTCACTGATTGGACAGACTGGACCCCTCACTGATTGGACAGAATGGACCCTTCACTGATTGGACAGAATGGACTCCTCACTGATTGGACAGAATGGACCCCTCACTGATTGGACAGACTGGACCCCTCACTGATTGGACAGAATGGACCCCTCACTGATTGGACAGAATGGACCCCTCACTGATTGGACAGAATGGACCCCTCACTGATTGGACAGACTGGACCCCTCACTGATTGGACAGACTGGACCCCTCACTGATTGGACAGACTGGATCCCTCACTGATTGGACAGACTGGACCCCTCACTGATTGGACAGACTGGATCCCTCACTGATTGGACAGACTGGATCCCTCACTGATTGGACAGACTGGATCCCTCACTGATTGGACAGACTGGATCCCCCACTGATTGGACAGAATGGACCGCTCACTGATTGGACAGACTGGATCCCTCACTGATTGGACAGACTGGATCCCTCACTGATTGGACAGACTGGATCCCTCACTGATTGGACAGAATGGACCGCTCACTGATTGGACAGACTGGATCCCTCACTGATTGGACAGAATGGACCGCTCACTGATTGGACAGACTGGATCCCTCACTGATTGGACAGACTGGATCCCTCACTGATTGGACAGACTGGATCCCTCACTGATTGGACAGACTGGACCCCTCACTGATTGGACAGACTGGATCCCTCACTGATTGGACAGACTGGATCCCTCACTGATTGGACAGACTGGATCCCTCACTGATTGGACAGACAGCTCATACTCACCGAGTCGATCAGGATGCCGTTGCTGTTGGAGCCGTCAGGCTGTTTGTTAAAGACGACGTCCACGAGGTACCGAGCGTCAGCGTTCAGACACAGCGGAGAGTCCAGAACCCCCCCTCTGCAGACAAACAACAACAAACAACGGTAAACAAACAACAATACACAAACAAACCTAACAGTTATGGCCTGACAGCGCCCCCCAGTGGTCCCCATGTGAATAAAAAGGTAAACAGTCTCACCTGGAGTTTCCAGGAAGGATCAGAGTTCTACTTCCTTGTGGGTCGCCTCTGCAGCCGCCGTTGCCTGGCGACCCTGCAATGGCGCTGATTGAAGCCAGCCAATCAGATGGAGACTGCGAAGGAAGATCAGCTCACGTTGAGAAACAGGAAGTACGATTTCCCAGTAATGACATCATCATGCAGGAAGTCACCTTCTGTAGTACTACTTCCTCTTTCCTGTCATGATTGTATCAGACTTTTTAAAAGAGTATGCAGCTGTCCTCACAAAGTACACAAAGTACATCATGTCTGCTACGCAAAGGATTGTGGGTCAGAACAGAGGGAAAGACTGCAGACTGCACAATGTGAGCGACCTGGGTCAGGACCTGAACCAGAACCAGGACCCGGCTTCTGTACCTCAGGCTCGTAGCGAATCACGAGCTGGTAATCCATGGACGATGGGAGGTTGTCCACAGTAAACCTAAGTCCCGCCCCCTCCAGCACTCTGACGAATCCCAGGCCGGTCCAGGTGATCAGCTGACCCGCGGCCCTCTGACGGGGGATGATCTGCAGGGCGTGGCCCGGCTCCAGAGGAAGGTTCTGGACACAGCAAACTCAAGATGAAGAGGGCCGTCTGATTGGCTGAGCCGTCAGACCGGGGTTCACCATTGGCTGACGTTAAACAGGAAATGGATGAAGCGCCTCACCTGTCTCCTCCGGCGGCCGGCACGTCGAGTCCTCCGGACCAGAACCACCACTCCATCACGGACCTTAAAGTCGTAACCCTGCTCTCGGTAAATCTGCTCACAGCGCGGCAACACCAGCGGGCTCAACTGGAAATGCACAAAGTACACATGAATACCGTGAGTACACACACATTACTACTGTGAGTACACACACAGTCATACTGCGAGTACACACACAGTCATACTGCGAGTACACACACAGTCATACTGCGAGTACACACACAGTCATACTGCGAGTACACACACAGTCATACTGTGAGTACACAAACAATACACACTCATTAATATTGTTATTATGATTATTTGTGTTATTGTTGTGTTGTGATTCCCACACCAGAGGAGAAGAGGAAGGTGTAGGAGGAGGAGGTGTAGAAGGTGGAGCAGGTGTAGAAGGTGGAGGAGGTGGAGGAGGTGTAGAAGGTGTAGAAGGTGGAGGAGGTGGAGGAGGTGGAGGAGATCCCTGCAGTGGAGCGGCGAGCTCCGCCTCGTACAGGAAGTAGTCCAGAGGAGGCAGGAAGTAGCCGGCGGTGGGCTCGGAGCAGTGGCGCCCCCCCATGTTGGGCAAACACTGACACTGACCGTCCTCCGGAGAACAGCTGAGGAACAAACACTCTGTTATTAGAGAAGGAGCGGAGAATGAGGAGAGACTCACCGTCTGTCTGTAAACATAATGGTTTATCTATACATCTGTATATAATGGATGTTAGGACCGAGTAGTTGCTTCTGAAAGTTTGACAAAAGCAGATTCAGATTTAAAAAATCATGAATAAATCAGAAACCTACGTGGTGCTGTGAGCTCCACCGATATCACAGTCGCAGGGGGAACACCTGTAGCCCGAGACCCCCAAACCCCAGAAACCTGCCTGATACAAACACAGAGAACATAACAAGGTCAGGATCATGACGAGGTCAGGAGGTCAGGATCATGACGAGGTCAGGATAATAACGAGCTCAGGAGGTCAGGATCATAACGGGGTCAGGGTCATAACGAGGTCAGGAAGTGCGGATCATAACGAGGTCAGGATCATAACGAGGTCAGGATAATAACGAGGTCAGGAGGTCAGGATCATAACGAGCTCAGGGTCATAACGAGGTCAGGGTCAGGGTCATAACGAGGTCAGGAGGTGAGGATCATAACGAGGTCAGGATCATAATGAGGTCAGGATCAAAACGAGGTCAGGATCAGGATCATAACGAGGTCAGGAGGTTAGGATCATAACGAGGTCAGGGTCATAACGAGGTCAGGGTCATAACGAGATCAGGAGGTCAGGATCATAACGAGGTCAGGATCAAAACGAGATCAGGAGGTCAGGATCATAACGAGGTCAGGGTCATAACGAGGTCAGGGTCATAACGAGATCAGGAGGTCAGGATCATAACGAGGTCAGGGTCATAACGAGGTCAGAAGGTCAGGATCATAACGAGGTCATGATCATAACTAGGTCAGGAGGTCAGGATCATAACGAGGTCAGGATCATAACGAGGTCAGGATAATAACGAGGTCAGGAGGTCAGGATCATAACGAGGTCATGGTCATAACGAGGTCAGGGTCAGGGTCATAACGAGGTCAGGAGGTGAGGATCATAACGAGGTCAGGATCATAACGAGGTCAGGATCAAACGAGGTCAGGATCAGGGTCATAACGAGATCAGGAGGTCAGGATCATAACGAGGTCAGGATCAGGGTCATAACGAGATCAGGAGGTCAGGATCATAACGAGGTCAGGGTCATAACGAGGTCAGGGTCATAACGAGGTCAGGGTCATAATGAGGTCAGGAGGTCAGGATCATAACGAGGTTAGGATCATAACGAGGTTAGGATCATAACGAGATCAGGGTCATAACGAGGTCAGGATCATAACGAGGTCAGGGTCATAACGAGGTCAGGGTCATAACGAGGTCAGGAGGTCATGATCATAACGAGGTCAGGGTCATAACGAGGTCAGGGTCATAACGAGGTCAGGAGGTCAGGATCATAACGAGGTCAGGGTCATAACGAGGTCAGGGTCATAATGAGGTCAGGAGGTCAGGATCATAACGAGGTTAGGATCATAACGAGGTTAGGATCATAACGAGATCAGGGTCATAACGAGGTCAGGATCATAACGAGGTCAGGGTCATAACGAGGTCAGGATCATAACGAGGTCAGGGTCATAACGAGGTCAGGGTCATAACGAGGTCAGGAGGTCAGGATCATAACGAGGTCAGGATCATAACGAGGCCAGGATCATAACGAGGTCAGGGTCATAACGAGGTCAGGATCATAACGAGGTCAGGGTCATAACGAGGTCAGGGTCATAACGAGGTCAGGAGGTCAGGGTCATAACGAGGTCAGGATCATAACGAGGCCAGGATCATAACGAGGTCAGGATCATAACGAGGTCAGGGTCATAACGAGGTCAGGATCATAACGAGGTCAGGGTCATAACGAGGTCAGGATCATAACGAGGTCAGGGTCATAACGAGGTCAGGGTCATAACGAGGTCAGGATCATAACGAGGCCAGGATCATAACGAGGTCAGGATCATAACGAG